GGAGGGTCTTGTGTGTGTGATTGTTTTGGGGTTTTCCCCTTCTATTTCCTTTAAACAAATAGAGGATAAATGCAGGGCTGAAGTACTGTTACTGTATGAAACATCATCTTGGGAGACAAATTTGTGTGATGAATTTGTAGAAAAAGTATCAAACTTAAATTACCTTAAGTCAAGCATGCTTTGGGAGGAGGATGGTGGAATGTTGCCTGCCAGTGTTTTTATTATCATTGTCATTCCCCCCCTTTTCAATTTTAGGGCTGTCATTTCTCTAAGGAAAAGTTCAATGCTTTTCTTTGACCAATTTGCTTTTACTCCTGAGGACAGATGAAGATATTTTATTCAGGCATCAAATTAATCACTACTATGCAGAAGACATTTGATCAAAGTGTGGTTACATTTCTTTTAATTTTCCTTCTTTACCATCTGTAAAACACCATAGCTGTGTGCTGCCTGTCTGATTTATCAGTGTCTTGTAGGAAATCAGTAACAAGCCTTTCCTCTAACCTGAGGGATTTGGGCAGTTCCAATTAGGTGGGGAGCCTGGGAGAGATAGATTTGCCTGCTCTTGGTGCTGCAGGACTTGACAGTGGTTTGAGTCTGGCTTTACTAATGTGGAAATCTTTGCCAGTGCTCTCAGCGTCTAAAAATTCCCTTATTTCCACAGGGTTATTTCCTGCCCTGGGTGAGGTAGGCTATTTTATTTCTTCTGGTTTATAATTTCTTGTAGCCAAGAGAGTTGTTACAAAAAAAAAAAAAAAAAAAAAAAAAAAAAAAAAAAAAAAAAAAAAAAAAAAAAAAAAAAAAAAAAAAANTCTGGCTGAAAACTGATTCTCCTTTTTCTCTTCCCCACTGCCCCCTCCCTCGCTCCCTGCCTGGTAAGTGGATTAATTTCCAGCCCAGGCAGCTCCCTGGCTCGGCTCTGGGCACACACTGTGCAGCCTGCACAGGCAGGTGGTGAGAGGAGAGGTCAGAACACCTCCCTGTCAGCAGTGAGATGGACTCTTGCAGGAATAAAGCAACCCTGGGACTGTGGCCCACCTGATGTGTGTAGTTAATTATAAAGATGTTGTAGTATTTGCAGGTACAAATCTGCCAAGGACTGTGCCTGGTGGGTTTGAATGTTCCTGCCCAACCTGTGCCATCGAAGCTTTCCCCCTGCTGATATTTGTGCTAACTTCTTTCACATGCCAGGCAGTATGAGGACTGTTTGCTGTGTGGAGTTTGGGTTCAAGTGAGAGTGATTGCATTAAGATTCAGTACAAATGTACTATGGAATGCGGTTTCTGTGAGCAGCAAGAATCTCACGGTGAGTACTGTGCTGATCAGAAAGTTATCAGCCTAGATTTGCTGGTACAATTATGGGCAATTTTTATTGCAATGAGAGTTATTTAAAATTTAAATAAAGTTGACTTCATGTTCTTTTGACCTAATTCCCAGACTTTTGTGTTATTACTAAAATGGTGTGGGATATTAGGACACAGTGCACTGCAGAGTGGCACTCCTAGGAAAGATTGGTCCAGCACTGGTGTTTGAATAGGAAATGGAGCGTGGCTGGTTCTGAGCCAAAGCTGGATCTTCACAGGGGCAGGGTTGGATGTGCAGCTCCTTGGGTGGAAAGCCTCAGCTATAGTTTGACACTAACCCTGCTGAAAAGTGGCCCTATGAGAAACCATGGTGCCTTCAAAACCTTAATGCTGGTGGTTTCATGAGTACAGAAGGTGATGTTTCCTTTCTGCTGGTTTGCATATCACTAGATGCCCCCTTTGCATGAACACAAGTTGTCTTTATTTTGGCAGGAAAGAATCATCGAGCCCTTGTGGAATATTTCAGACTTTCACCACCAAATTCAATTTACTACATTCTTCCTTGTAGACAGCTCGCTCCCGTGACAACCCTGTGGCAGATGATGCATGTACAGACCCTGTTTCCCATAACTTTGTCCTTGGGATGACACCAGTGGCATTTTTCTCATGATCTCTGAAAAAAAAAAAAAAAAACCACATGAGGAAAAACAGGCTGATTTTGAAGTGCAAATTGTCATTTGGAAAGCACCCTGCCTTTGTATGAGTTTCACTTATTTAGGAATATTATGAGCAATAGAAAAAGCATTCAAAACAAAATAATGAAGTGAGGGTTGTGTTTTTTAACCCAGCTGCTGGTTAGGAACAGAGTCAGTCTTCACTTGCTTTTACCCAAGTAATGTACCAGTCTGACTGTAACTGCCCTCACAGCCCACCTTGGGGGTACAGGCATTGTCCAGGTGTTACATATACGTGTGTAAATTGTAGTGAGGGCAAAGTGATCAGGAAGAAGTGTAGAGCATTCCATCCTCCTGTATCTGTGTATGAATCCAGAATTCCTGATGTCTTGCACTGGAAAATGAAGCTCCAGGGTAGATGTGTGTCTTGTGGGACTGTTAATACCCACTGCAACCTTATCTGCTGTGCTCACATCCAGATGTTGGAAAGCAAAGTTGTATCTCCAGTAAAGAATTAGCTTGTGTTTATCCTGAGATAGTTCAACCTCCCCCCAAAACGTGGAGCCTTGGCCATAGTAATCTAACTACAGGCTATCAAGGTTTCATTTCAGCCCGACTTGGCAGCCCATGGGCCTTGCTCTCAAAAGGCAGGGCCAGCCAAGCTGATAATATTTCACTGCCATGCCCCAATTACCCCTGAGTTAATACTCTGTTGCCTGTTTATTTTTTTTACACCCTTCAGGACACCCACAAAGGCAGGTTAATCCTGTGTTTGTCTGCCGTGTTTTGCTGTGCTGCAGTGTTTGGACAGCGGTGCCGTGAGGAGTGTGCCTCACACAGCTTTGCTGGGAGCAGATGTCAGCCCTCCTTCCAGCTGCAAAACCTGGAGCTGGGGGAGAATGGAGCTGAAGGAACTGTTTAAAGCTTAGTGGACAGAACAGGAGAGCAAAACGTCAAGCAGGCAAGGAGAAATTAATTCCGTCTGCTGGAAGGTTTTGCTGCCAAATATTTTGGTATGATCTGTGTTAGCAATAAGTAACTCCATTTGGAGATTATTTTACACGCAGAATTGTTGTCGTATTGCTGTTTCAAACAGCAGCTCTTTGCTGGGGCACACAAGTCCCACAAGCCTTCATGGATCAGCCAAATAAAAACATGGTATTTCCCCCAGGAAATCTATCCCAGGAAAGCACTGCTGAGGATGCAGCTGCATATGTAGGGCTTTGCTCAGCCCACCCTCCCTCTGTGCTGGAACAGCTCAAGCTGTAATTTTGCAGTAAAGACACATCCTTAATGCTCAGGCCTCCTGCAATTTCTTCTGAGATGCTGAGGCTTCTCCCAGATAGAGCTGTTTGGAAGATCTGCCACTGTCTTTACACACCTGAATCTGCTGGGTTTTTCTGATGGTTTGGCTTGTTTAACTTCTTCACCAACTCGTGGCCGCTTCTGCCCAGTTATTTTCCATGAGCTTCGAGTCTCTCTCTGCATGCAGAACACAGAGGAAACTTGACAGCTGTGCTTCATTCCCTTTCCCATCACAGTGTTTCACCAGGCACAGGTTTAGTGAAATCTTTGCCATGGGATCTGAAAATTTTATTGCTTCAATTTTTTTTTGCTCCCAGGTTGCATTTTAAATGCAAAGCTGGTCTGTTCAGAGCACAGGCAGAAATGGTGCTACATTGTTGTCTGGTCGGAGGGGTTTGTGTGTGTGATTGTTTTGGGGTTTTCCCCTTCTATTTCCTTTAAACAAATAGAGGATAAATGCAGGGCTGAAGTACTGTTACTATATGAAACATCATCTTGGGAGACAAATTTGTGTGATGAATTTGTAGAAAAAGTATCCAACTTAAATTACCTTAAGTCAAGCATGCTTTGGGAGGAGGATGGTGGAATGTTGCCTGCCAGTGTTTTTATTATCATTGTCATTCCTCCCCTTTTCAATTTTAGGGCTGTCATTTCTCTAAGGAAAAGTTCAATGCTTTTCTTTGACCAATTTGCTTTTACTCCTGAGGACAGATGAAGATATTTTATTCAGGCATCAAATTAATCACTTCTATGCAGAAGACATTTGATCAAAGTGTGGTTACATTTCTTTTAATTTTCCTTCTTTACCATCTGTAAAACACCATAGCTGTGTGCTGCCTGTCTGATTTATCAGTGTCTTGTAGGAAATCAGTAACGAGCCTTTCCTCTAACCTGAGGGATTTGGGCAGTTCCAATTAGGTGGGGAGCCTGGGAGAGATGGATTTGCCTGCTCTTGGTGCTGCAGGACTTGACAGTGGTTCGAGTCTGGCTTTGCTAATGTGGAAATCTTTGCCAGTGCTCTCAGCGTCTAAAAATTCCCCTATTTCCACAGGGTTATTTCCTGCCCTGGGTGAGGTAGGCTATTTTATTTCTTCTGGTTTATAATTTCTTGTAGCCAAGAGAGTTGTTACAAAAAAAAAAAAAAAAAAAAAAAAAAAAAAGGAACAACAAAAAATAAGCTTGCCAGGGAAAAGAAAATGTGTCCTAAATGCTTGTTTTGCTGGTTTTGGTGTGGCATTCCAGAATACCTGGTGGATTCCTGGTTCTCTGGAGGTACAGCTTCACGTGCAGATGGATCTGTAGTAGCCCCTTTGTTATCATTCCCTGCCTGGTTAACAAACTATGTTTGCTCACCATTTATCACCTACAACATGGATATATGTGGTGTCTCTGCGAGCCTGGGCTGGCTGGGATGGAGTATCTGTGATGCAGCAGGGAATTTGGCATCCTCTGAATGCCATGTTGTGGTGTTGGCACAACGTGGGAATGATTTCCCCCTTTTGTCTGGCAGTTAATGATCGTTTCAGCTGCTGGGCTGGAGCTGCAGCAGGGCCGGGGCGCCGGCTTTGCGTGCCCGATTATCTGTACGTGCCGCAGATGGAAATTGGACATCTAATGACTTTATAAGATTTGTGAACAGAGATTTAGAGCCTGCTTAGCCTCTGCTTGAAAAGTGCTTTCTGTGTGATTTCAAGTCTCGCCTCTCTCTCCTCGCCAGGTCCTTTCACAGATGTTGTCACTACAAACCTGAAGCTCGGCAACCCCACAGACAGAAATGTTTGCTTCAAAGTTAAGACCACAGCACCACGTAGATACTGTGTAAGGCCCAACAGTGGAATTATCGATGCAGGAACATCAATTAATGTTTCTGGTAAGCCATTCAAGCAGTTTTCTGGTGATTTGAAAATAGCTTCTTTTAATCACTTACTGGGAATGCTTTGCAGCCTGAAGGTCAGGTTGTGTTTTGGTGGAGAAGCAGCCACGTCACGTAGCCTCACCTCCCTTGTTCCTGGGCTAGCAGCAGTAGGCTTGGTTTTACATCATGTTTTGGAGAGGAAAAAGGCAGAAATGCATAAATGATTTATATGGCTCATTAACAGCCTCAGCCAGCCTATCCAAACCAGTGCTGCTGCAGCCCTGCCCTCCCTGTGGGATTATTTTTGTAGTTAGTTTTTTGCCAGCTTAACTTCCTGAACCAGCTCACCATGGGGTCAAACAAGTGCTTGGGTGAGCACATCCAGGGAAGAATAAATCTGGGTGAACTGCAGCCACTGGTTTAGACTGGTGCTGGCTGTTGCCAAACTACCTTGATATAATATCCAACAATGCAAACCTTTACTTGCAGTCCATGCTTGTTTTGTGTTCCCTGAAGATTCAGTATCCTTTGGTGTTAAAAATGTCAAATGACTAAATCTTTGCTGTTCCATAGGAAAAGTTAATGATTTTCTCTAATGAGTCAGTAGCTCTTGACTTGCCTAAGTTTGGTAATGGAAAAAACAAAGGAGTGGCTTACTTTGAAAGTATAAAGAGCTGAGTATTCCCATGAACAGAATGTCTGCATACTGTTAACTCACTGATGATACATGCCTGAAAACAGTGTATTTTCTCAATGACTTTTCCATGTTTTTAATAGAGAATTCTACCAAAGCATGTAGTAGTGGCATATTGCATGAATGAGGTCTGACTTTTTTGTTGAGAAAATGATTTCTATAAATATGCAGATTTGCTTTACTATTTTTAAAAGAATTTAATGTTATCAGGATAAGAAAAATTACTGATAGGTTATAGAGTTTGCTGTTAGTCTCTTAGCAACCTTTCCTAGCCTGGAATAAAAAATTTGGGGAGCTAAACCCGCTGCTTTTTACTTGGAAAAAAAAATCAACTTGTAAAAATCAAGACTTCACTTTTTTTACTTCATAAAATGTAAAATATTTGAACACCTTGGAGAGCCTGCTTCAATAAAATAAAAACTGCTCCCAAAAATACTTTGCACTGTGGCATTAAGCAAGTCTGATCCTGTAAGTCCTCCTGTACATGCCCACATTTGCACACTCATTGATCTGTTGTCTTTGGGATTTCAGTGCCCAATTGAGCATGCAAACTGCTGCAGGACCGTGCCTCGATCGCACTGGGAGCTACAGGTGGGGCAGGCAAAGCACTTCTGCTTCAGGAGAAGGCCAGCACGTAGCCAGTGAGCTCTGAAATGACTAATATGTAAATGAAAAAGCTCTCTAGAGAGAAATTTCGATTTTTAAAAGTCGGGACAATTCCCAAGTAAAGCTGTCTGTCATCTCTCCTAGCTGCAGGCAAGCATATCAAATGCATTGAAATCAATGAAATGATAATGAAAATTAGCATGGTTTCTAGCTACAAATTATCTTCATGCTATAAAGATGTGGTTGCTTTTCATCTTGCAGATGAACTTTGAGAATTAAAAGCCTGTTTCCTTCACAGGCTCTTACCAGGCTCTTTAATGTCTTCTTGATCTCAGCGTTGAGTGTTTTCTTAAACCTCTGTTCACTTTGTGTGTCCCTTTGCTCCACCTTGAGCAAACACAGTGCAGGAGGGTGTTGTAGGAACTATCTCATGTTATTGTACCAGCAACTTGCCTTTCCAGCCTCGCTCTTCCCCGTGGCACAGCAGAGAGTGTGGATCTAGTCCAAGGCTTAAAGTACCCCGTTATGAGCCTGCTGTGCCAGCCCTGAGCTGTGCTTTCCTCTTGCTTACACAGCTTTACAGTTTTCCCTTTTCTGGTGACCTTGTTTATGGTGATTTATGATTTGTTTGGTTTTGAAAATGGCTGTGGTGTGTTTAATCCCAAGCTCACATGTGTGTTCTAATATTTTCATGCCGATAATCATTTCAGTAATAAATAATGAGTCCTAAATTGCCGATGTCCTTACATTAGCATTATATTTTAAAATGCAAACAGTACACATTCATTGTTCTTCAGGTAATATATTGAGGTAAATTCATAGGTAGATGTTACAGAATTTGTCACAAGTGTTAATTTTTATTTCCTAAAACATTCTGAACTGGAGTTTAATGGAGCTGTATATGTGGCAGTTCTGGTAGGTCCTTTAAACCGTGCATGGGACCTAAATTTGGACCTTAAGTTGGCAGTGTCTTTGGTTCTAATCAGCAGATGGGATCCTTTGGATAGGGATCAGAGGGGACTCCCATTAACTTACAGGGCAGAATTGTTTTCAGGTTCACAGAAAGGGGGGAGAACGTGTTTAACCTTTGCTTTGGGGTAATGTTGCTTGAGAACAGAGGAGTGATTTTGGAGTTAATGAAGTGAAAAATAAATAGAATTTGTTTCTTTGCCTCTGAATCAGTTATTTTTCTGTCCTGTAATTCAAGTCTTGAACGGGGCACAAAAATAGGACTTGAATAAATAGGGCTTGAATTCCTCCAAACCTAGTGAAAATACTACTGATGAGAAATTATTAGAACGTAGTTAATTCAGTAGTAACTTCTGGACACTTAAACTAATTGGGCTGTATTTACTATATGCAGTCTGTCCTCTTGGGAATTGCTGACTGGCTTTACCAGAGCCACTGATTGCACTGGTTTGTCTCTCCAAAAAATCAGTGCCTGTGGTGGTGTGAAGCTCTGGAACGATTTATTAGTTTCTCAGAATGTTACTGACTGCAGCTGAATTTGGGGCAGCCTCGTCTCCTTGCACTGTAGTAACCAGATGCCTCTGTTACACTCCTGTGAAACTAAATCTGTACTAATTTGATGTCAGTATATGAGCAGATATTCTGCCCTGAGACAGAGGCAGCAGTTCCAACATTATTCCACTTTATTTTGCACTAATATGATGGCTCATTTAAAAACACACCAAATGCTAGAAAAATAAAGCTTGCTTTATGCTAGTGGAGTCTCAAATAACCGGCTTCTTATGCCAAATCACAGCTTTCCCTAAATCCCAGCATTTCAGGCCCTGTCAGCATGTGCTGCTCGCTGTGGTGGCAGGTTTGGAGCCCGTGTTTTCACCTGTTATATAATGGCATGTAATTTTAACAGCTGAGTTTATGTAACTGGCGGGGAGCGTATGTGTGTGTGCTGTCAGCTGATGGCTCTGCATGTGTTCTGAGATGCTGGGCAAAGAGGAGCAATTGCACACATTTCCTCTCTGTTAGACACGTATGATTTCTGCAGAGGTATCTGAGATTTTTTTTTTTTTCCTGAGGTCTAAATCAAAGGCATGAATGGATTACAAAGGCAAAGTGAACAAACCCTCAGCAGATGCTGGTGAGGTGTGTAAGGGGGGAGAGAGGAAGTGCAGAAGGGACCATCTGTGACGGTGTCCTGCTGAAGAGAGCAGTCTGAACATGCTGCCTGAAAACGGGGAGAGGCTGATGATGGCCTTGGGTTGCTGTGGAATATCCTCAGGAGGGATTTTTACTCTTCTGTGAGCTTGCCTGGCTTGGAAAAGGCAGCTGGCATTACCTTCAGCAGGGATGGAGCTCAGCCCTGTGCTCTGCAGTCACAGAGGGGCTGCCCCGTTCCCTCATCCACTGCTGCATTCCCAAACTTTCCCTCGGCAGCATCGCTGCTCTGCCTTCCCAGGACCCTGTAGCCACTACCAAGTTTTGGAATGGTTGTGCCTCCTTGCTTTAAAAGATTCTGTCTTGGTCTTCCCATATTCAACATTTTTTAGTATTATTGAAATATTTATGGGGTTTTTTTACGTGGAGCAAACCTGGAGGGGTGCAGTGGATTCTGCCCCTTTCTGTTCTGCAGTGCCCTTCCTCACCTCTGGCAGAGCTGATCTCATTGCACAGTGAACTTGAGGCTTGCCCCTGCTTGGGGTATTTTGTGGACAGGTGACATAAATGTGGCAGATTTGATATGTCCAGACCATAAAAAAATGCAGGCAGTGTCGTTTGGGAAAACGATCAATAAAACTGGAAAAGAAAAATGGATTCACAGAATATTGAATGAGCTGCTTGAGAGTGAACAGTGACGTGGTGGATGGAAATGCCACAGCAGGAAGTTACTAGCGATGTTGCTTGAGAATGATTCTTGGTACTAATCTTGTTTAAGGCTTTTACAAGCAATTCTGGCACAAAGAGAACGCTAAAAACCCTGATGATGATGTAAAGTTGGGAGGCTGAAGTTGTGCAGCAGAACTAGGTGTCCTTGAAGGCTACAGTGAGACAAACAGAGGATGAGTTTCATTAGAAAAAACTGCAAAATCACATATTTGGAGAATAAAATACTCCTGCTATAATTGCAAGCTTGTTAAACAAAGGGGCCTGACTGAGCTGAGCAAGATGCTGACATAATGTGGCTGTGAGAAAGGCAAATGTAGCACCACACATCTGCATCTGTAGGCAAATATGTGACAAAGAGGCTGATAATGGCAGAGAGAAGAGGGTAGAAATGCTGTTGTCCAAGGCACTGGCAGAATTGCCTGGGTGTATAATTAGAGCAGCTCATCTAGAGGAGTTGATGCCAGAACAGGTGCAGGGAATGAATGGAGAGCCTGGCCCAGGCAAGACCCACTGAGTCTGGCTAACTGAGTGTACCACAAGGCCAAGAGTCGCTGTGATTGATGTCTTGGAGTGCACCAGAAGTAAATGACTCTTCCACTTCTCTGATATTTAAGCAGAAGGGCAGTATTGGTCCAGGACCAAGTAAACAGGCCATTAATAAATTTAGATGGAAACTAGAGGAAGGTTGCTGACCATCTGAGCTGGGAGACTTTTCTGTTCCTTCTGCTCCTGGAAGGGAAAGGGAGATCCCAGCAGGTGTTAGAGGTAGAATTTTGCCTCCTTCCATCTTCCTTGCTTCAGATTTCCTCTGTTCCTTGAGAAAGCAGGTTTACCCTGGGACAACCAGAAGAACTTAATGCTTCAGACATTGTCACAAACTTTGCCAGTAAACTGTTCTAGGGAAAAGAAGAGGATGGTGGGTGCCTCTCCTGGCTATCTAGAGATACAGGGGGGTGTGGCAGGGATGTGTGAGAAAAGTGGTGTCCACTGCTTTAGAAACACTTCAGGGTGTGCAGTAGGTCAGAACTTCGTGTTTGAATTTTGAGGGAGACAAGTGGGCTCACAAACACAACTTGCATTGCTCCTCATTGCATTGATCTCAGTGACTGTGCAGTTTTTGCTCAGGGCAGAACACCTAATTCAGCTGAGTGTTTCAGCTGGGGGGAACCAGTTTAGAAAGTGTTTGAAATACATGTCTCTACCTGACGGATGCTGGTGGTAGTAAACTTGAAGATCATATTAATAATTTTGTTTCTTAAAACTCTGGATACTGATGAAAGCTGAAGCTTCTGACCAGCTGAGGTGAATGATGTGATGAGGCATTTTGTAGGAACACACTTTTCACGTAGTTTTTGCATCAAGTATGTGGTTTCCATTCAAAGCAAAGGAGCCACGTTCCCAGCAGCAAATTTTCCAGCAATTAGGGCACTTCCATGGAGCTGATCTTTCACAGAAAGCCCCACTAGCATGCAAATAAATATTGAAATGATTCACTTTCCTCTTGTACAAAGTACATATTTTTGAGCTTCCCATCTGGCTTACAAGACATTTGCTGAATAATTTGTGTCAATGTGGCTTTCATGTATTGATCTAAAAATACAAGTGCTAACAAGGGTTGTGCTGTCGAGCCCTCTCTCATTCTTGTGATTCAGTGAATGGAGCTCCGAGCAGCATTCCAGGATGGATTCAGCTCTGTCACTTGGGGAATCCTGAGTTCCAAATGAGCCTATGGATGGGCTCAGCAAAGCGGGGCTGAGAAACCCACAATCTGTACAACTTCCATAAACAGTGGATAGTTTTGCCTCTCCAGCTGGATCTTGCCTGTTATGTAGGTTTGAAATAATTCCAGTGTCTGCTACAGCGAAGGACAAAACGCTGCTGTTTTCAGTGACGTCTCAGGGGGTGCTGAAATGAACGTGTTCTCACAGCGCAGTCACTTCCGCTGGGAAAAGAGTTTTAAAAGTAGCCTGGTTTAATTTGCAAACACTTATTTTGGACTAGTGTTCCCTCACTGCAAGGTGAGTTAAAAATGTATAATAATTTTTAAAGCACCTCCTCTGAGGGGATTTATTGTCTTCCTTCTCTCCGGGCTTTAAAAGGCATATGTGGTTGTTGATGGCCACAGATTGTGTGCATAATAAAGATGGCACAGCCATAACATCCTCTGCTCATTGAGGCAAATTGCTTTGACTTGCCTTCGTCTGCAGCAAATGGGATCATTGGATAGTGCTTTTATATGATGAACCCCTGCAATTAGTGCATGTGAATCTGGGCACATCATGTTAATAGCACCAGTACTTGAAAGTCATCCTAATTCTTGAACTGCTTCTCTTCTCAGTGATTGAATTGAGGGACTGAAGTGAGCTCGCTGGTCATAAAATGTGAATTTTTGCATCATTTTTTTATGGTAGCTGTAATGGCAGTATTTATAAGCTTCATTTTAAATTGGAGGGAGTTGGTGGCTTCTTGCAATATCTAATGACATGTTTGTGTAAACTCTGCTGCTTATTTTCACATGTTCTAGCTCATGTTGAAGCCAAACCCGTGTTTGTTAATGTCACAATAGCTGCATATCCAGGTGTCATTTGCAAATGTGATTGAAGAGTATTCCATGTAAATTAAATACCTCACTGTCCCTCTTCAAGATTCTTTATTGTGTTAGTTCTTTACCCTAAAAGAAAAGGCATGGAAACTCCTAATACTATATGAAAAATCAAATAAAAGCACCCCTAAACCTGCTGTTCCTTCCTCTGCCCCCTCAGCACAGTCATTTTCTGCATAAGTAAATTCTGGAATGCTTTTGATTTGTAAATGGAGAGAGATACATTCCTTGTATACCTTTCAGAGGCAAAGTTTACATCACGTTTAACCATTAACTTCCAGCTGTAAATTGGTAACAAACATTCAGTGACTTATTTTTGGAAGTGAAATACTCGTACTCAATACGGAAGATACCGTGAGGCTCCTAAACTTTGCAGAGGAAATTTTCCATCCTCGGGGTTTACAATGTTTGCCTTTGCCCCTGTAGCTTTACTCAGGCTCCATCAGCAATACTGTGTGTACAGCTCATGCAAATGCTTGTTACTTCTGCCCCAAGGGTGAAGGAAGACAAAAAGATGCTGTCTTTGAAAATTTTTCCCTCTGTCCCAGAGGATATGTAAATTATCCTATTTACTATAAATTACTACTGTTATTCTGCCACAGTTGTGTACAGAATGTTGTAAAGTGATCAGCAATTCCAGAGTTCTCAGACTGAAGTCTAGACAGGCTGGAGAAGTGTGTTTCTCTTACCTTCTGCCAGAATTGTGCTTTAAAGTGACGTTCCTGATCTCAGCTGCTGCTTTGGGATGTAGAGCTTGAACCCATTTTAATGCCTGTATTTCTGAACTCTGCTAACTGTGTCATCAGGGCATGACTCTGCATCAGAGCAATATTAATGTGATGTGTTTTGGGGCTTTTTCTTGCAGTGATGCTACAGCCTTTTGACTATGACCCTAATGAGAAAAGTAAACACAAGTTTATGGTTCAGTCTATGTTTGCTCCAGCTGATACTTCAGATATGGAAGCAGTAGTAAGTATTGACGTTAATTTAAATAGATTTCTTTCTAACTGTATAATTCTCCAACTCCTTCTACTGCGTCGCCTGAGGGCTGTTGTCAAACCACACTGGGATGATCCTGGAAAGCTTTCCCAGATTTCCATCTCTGCGCATGGCAAGGTGTTTTCTGTTTATTTTGAGCCCCAGGAATCTTGCACTGACAGAGACAGTTGGTGTCGTGGTTGCTTCCTTGGGAAGCTGCTGTCAGGAATGGGATGCCAAGCCACAAAACACGTAGTTGTAGTTTTTTTGCAGTATATCCTTTTTTAGAAAGGCTAGCTTGAACTCTGTATTCTAAGAATACCCTGAATGTGTTCTAAGTCTGTGGCATCTTTTATATTTTATGCATCTCCTCTCAGTCTTGAGCCTTCCCTTGAGCAGCTCCTTTTCCCAGCGAGAAACAAGAGGATGATTTACAAGTGGTGTATTTTTCTTTATCCCTGCCTGTGTCTGCCGTGGCTTTGGCAAATTTGTAGATTTTGTCCTGTGGATTAAAAATGAGAGCAGCAGAAGCAAAGATGGACAAAAGACATAGGAAGAAGATTTTAGGCTCCAGTAGGGCAACCTGGAAAGGAACAAACCATTCTGTCAGCTGCTGGCTTTGCTTTAACAGCAACATCTGCTACTACAAGAAGGCACAAGGAAGCCTTGGGAGAGCACAGGGCAGCTGTTGAGGACACCATATAAAAAGGGGAAAAAAAGGGCTTTACACTCAAGTGTGGGACTTGTGTGTGTTTTTGTGTGTGTGGTACTTAAAAGAGTAACCCCAGCAAAGCTCAGGGTACATATCATGGCTTTTCTACAGTAGTCTTTACAGGATGGATCTTCTTCTGAATAGCTGCTTAAGGCTGGGGCACTCTGCAGGGTTAATAATTTCCCTTCTGAAAGAGATTTATGGAACTATATTTGTTTAATGGCCTCAAAATAAGATCCAGTGGGAGAAACAGCAATAGTAATAAAATCTGCATCACTAGAAAGATAAGCCAGTCTGCCTTTCTTTCAAACTCTTTAATTTTTATGAGTTACTTTATACCATGACAAATGTTATTCTGCCAGCAGAGAATGTTTTTAGTACCTAGATGGGCCTTTCAGTTTTCCAGAGCTCTCCAGACCCGATACAGTTTCTTTCCCTGTAACACTTTGATCAGTTCTCAGTCCTGTTCCCACTCTCCAAACCTCTTCCCGTTCTGGATGAACAGGTGAGCCCGGTTACAGGAGGACTATAAAGCTTTCAACACTTCCCAGGCAGCCAAGGAGCTCAAAATAGAGTTCTGATTCCAGCCCCAGAAGAGCTGGAGTAGGATTCAGCTATTTAGGATGAGTTAAATGCTCCTTCAGGTTGCACGGGGTTGGCCATAATTTGACACCTACTTGAGATATGCTGGGAGTACCAAACCACCTGCAGTGAGGTCACGGTGAGGAGAGGCTTGTGAGAACTGCAGGGTATGAGTGTGGACACTCCTTGCTGTGTATCCCTGCTGGGAATAAATCTCTTCACTTCAGGGTTCCAGCTGACACCCAGCAAAGATTTATTGCTGTTAATCCCTATTAAAAATGTTGCAAGGAAGCTTGTTTATGGTGCAGTCCCTAGTTGGAGGGGAGAGAAGGTGAGAGGGAAATTATCTCTGTATGTGAAATTTGAAAAGTTTGATTAGGAACTCAACTGGGCAAAGACTTCACAACTAACTCTGTGATTGATTTGGGCTTTTGTTATCTTTCCCTTCCTTTGAATTCACTCCTCCTTTTTCCTTTTCTTTTTTTTTTAACCAGGCCCACAGCTCCCCCTATCCCTGCTAATTACTCTGACACAGCTCCCAGTCCTCATAAATTACCTGTGGAGGTTTCAGACTGTTTAGAATGATTTGCTTCATAGTGTCTGGTCTGTTTTCACGATGCCAATCAGTCACATATTTGATTTCATTTTTCATCCTGTATGTGGTTAATGGAACATGATAAACACCTGTGGGTTTTTTCCCTGAGTAAAATGATGTGATTTGTTTACATAATACTCTGCATTTTCCATCTGCCTTATTATACTGATATGTTTAATACTGAATTAATATTAAATTATTCCAGTGGAAAGAAGCAAAACCGGAAGAACTCATGGATTCGAAACTTAGGTGTGTGTTTGAGCTACCAGCAGAAAATGATAAGCCTGTGAGTATTTTCAGATGCATATCGAGTGCTTTAACTTAATACCCCAGTAAATCCTGTAAAATGGCATGTTTGTACAGACAGCTCTATAAGAAAGGACAGAACCCTCTGTTTCACTGCCTGGATGGCATCACCCTTTAAAAACACAGTGTAAACTGTTCAAAGGCTTGTTAATCCTTAATGGAACTGGCAGCTAATCGGAACAATGTAACTGCAACAGTAGCACAGAGCAGTCTGAGTTAATCTGTTTTCATTTAGTGAAAGATTTCAGGATAAGGAATATTTTTAAAAAAATATAATGATGCTGATTTGATGGTTGTAAATGGGTGGAATTTATACTGAATACAGCAGCAATATAATTTCTCTGTCCAATGCTGCCCTTTGTTTCCTTGGGACAATGCTGAGTTTAGCAAGTAAATTGGTCGAAAGCTGGACAGGAAAACACAAATGCAGTCAGGGATTATATTGCAATTAGCAGCTATAATATTGCAGGGTCCTTTTTTGTTAGGGTAATGAACACATTGATTTCTAAGGGCACTGTGTGGTGCCCAGTGTAGAACAGATAATGGTTTGAATAAACTGAGAAATGTTTCCTAACATGCAGGTGCTAAGGGCACAATTGTTCCACCTTGCACTGGACAGCCTGTAATTGGGATTACAGAAAGAAAAATGTTGTTTATTTCTTTTGATACAGGCACGTTTCAGGTGTGCACAGACAATTTTACCTGATCCTCCTCCTAAATACCAGGTGTGTGGTGTGGTGTTAATAACTAACCAGAAATCACTCTGTCCTTTTTTAACAGCATGACATAGAAATAAATAAAATTGTATCCACAACTGCAACAAAGACAGATTCCTCTGTAATGTCTAAATCAATAAGTTCTTCTTTGGATGACACTGAAGTTAAGAAAGTAATGGAAGACTATAAGAGGCTTCAAGTAGAAGTTCAGAGGTTACGGGAGGAGAATAAACAGTTTAAGGTAAAGATATCTGTTGTTTTCTTTTCAGATTTACCCCTTTCCTGAAAAAGAAGCTTTCAACTTCAAGGTTTGATTCCCTGACCTTAGCCCAATATTTGAATCTTGTCTATAAAGTAAAAGATAACTGAAGTTTCCTCTCTCTAAACTGTGAAAAGGTGCTGAAATCAATGGTTCCTTTGAAAGGAGGTACAAGTGATGCAGTCAGAGACACTGATTAGAGGCAACTGGAGTAACGAATTCCCCCCTCTTTTTAATTTTCCCACCTAATTTTCTCAGTGTGAATTAATTCAGTGTTGGGTTTGGCCCTGTTCTCCCAAACCTGTGGGAGCCTGAGGGCAGTGTTGTGCAAATACTGAGTGTTTTAGTGATTGCACCTGTAATAAGCCATTGAGATGGCCAAATTAAAACAGATGAATGGGAAATGTGCTCCCTGTCATATCCAGCACATGGCTGGGAAATGGAGCAGTTGAGCAGCCTTTCCCACTGTGCTGAGAAACTCTTTTTGCAGCAGTTTCATCTCTTTCAAGTGTCTGGTTCCATAGATATCAGCACCGAGGAACATTTAGATTTTGTGACGTGCAGCCCAGCTGAAGGGATTCTGCTCTGTCAGCTCTGGCTGATGCATGAGGAAATCCTTCAAACCAGTTTTGTTGTGCACAGAAATAACACATGTAATACAACAGTAACGTGCCCTTAACTTCTCATTACTATAATGTCTGATTTTACTGAATTCTTTTGTGAATCACTCTTGAATAAACAGTCTACAGGAGCTATCTAGAACTGAGCTGATGTCTTACAGTAACACCCTGACCTGGTGAGCTCTTTGTTCCCTTTGTGGGGCGCAGAAGCATCTGTAAAACATCAGAAAGCAGTGGTGAATCACTGCCAGCTCCCAGGTGCTGTCAGTGTCAGGCAGAGTCAGGCAGGAGGAATTAAAAATATTTCAAAGGGAAGCTTGTTGTTTCTAGCAGTGAAATTACTGTATATGTAAACAACATGTTATTATTTACAAAAGCCAGTTGTCCCTGTCCAGACTTAGAGCAGCAGTGAGGGATCAGGTGGCCTGAGACTTAATGAGTAAATTAATTAATTAATTAATAAGTTATCCAGAATGTTCAGGTGTCCCTTTAAATTCAAAAGTGAGAAACACTGACATACCCTGAGCCTTTTGAATTTCACTTACCTAACAGTTTTTTAAGGCTGCAGTAACTTTTATTCCAATTTTGAA